TGAGTGAGTGAGTGAGTGAGTGAGTGAGTGAGTGAGTGAGTGAGTGATTGGGAGGCATAACTTAACTTGCTAGAAAACCATAGGTGGCTTGAGGGGATGGGTCCTGCTTTGAAGCAGAATGAGGTAGCTACTTCAGGGAATATATGTTAAATGCAAAGCAACAGAAAATGTCCATTCTTTAATTTGCTACTGAGTATATTTTGCCTGTCTGTGGAATCTTTGGGTTGTCTGGTTGAGGGTATCGCCACAACATGTCATAATACTACCTATATTTCTGGGACTCAGTCCTTCCCCTTATATATCATCATTTCTTCTGTTTCTGATGTTCACATTTGAGGACTGTTTTTTTGGCCCCCAAATCAATCAATCAATCAATCAATCAATCAATCAATCATCTGTTTATCTAATTACAGCTTTTATAGCTCACGCAGCTCTTGGTGCATGAGCTATAATGATGCACCATTTTAAAATGATAAAAGCAACAATAGAAATAAATCAAAATTATTATTGTTAATAATAATAAAGGCCTAATCATGCACACAGACACATCAACAGGCCAGTGAAATCCCAAGGCTTACAGATTATTATTATTATTTAAATTTATTATGCCCATCCATTCCAAAAGATTCTGGGTGGCTTACAACATGAAAATATACAATTATAGGTTGGTATACCTTGGCTATGGACTGTGTTGTATGGTTTTTTATATTGTTTTTATACCTAGTTTTTTTGCATTGTTTTTGTTTTTTATATTGTTTTCCTGGAATTGCACTGAAGAAAAACTCTATCGTTCTGTTTCAAGTTGTGCTTGGAATGATCTCACATTGAGGGCTCCTGTTTGGATTACTGGATTTTTGTGTATGTGAAGAACATTAGATTGCTTGAAAGACAGTGTAGATATTTATTATGATTACATTTTGTTGGTTGATTGGATGATTCATGTAAAGATTTTTAGACCCCTGTTGAATAGCTGTATTAGCATTGGGTGAAAGAAGAGTGGTCAAGGGTTGTCACTCAATGAACAAAAATTGCTTTCCACGTAGAAGGTGCTGAATCTGCTCCAAGGAGGGGCGGAAAAGATTCATATCCAAAAGCCTGGGAAATTCCTACCAATCAATACAGACAATATAGCACTAAGTGATTTTGGTGAATAATGCAGCTTCCTCTGTTCCAAAGTTAACCAAATCATAAATCTGAAATCACAAATCAAGCGAAGAGGCTGGGTGGTTGTTTGTCAGAGGGGATTCTGCACTGAGCAGGAGCTGACCAGACAACTTCTAAGATTCCTGTCAACGATAGGATTCTGTGATAAGAATATAGGAAAGGTGAATCCCATAATAAAGATTCAGCAGTGCTTAAAAAAAGCCAGATCATGGTTTGTTCTGGACTTCCAGAGTTCTCCATGGTGCCAGTGTGCTTAACAACATCTCCCTTGGAATCCTTTGGCTTCCACGCCACATCTCATTTCTGTTTTGTGGGGATCCTTGCAGGAAGGTAACACACTGCAGAGCAAAGTGCCTGTCCTTAAGCACATAGATCTTAAAGAAATGATCACAGAGTGGAAATGGTGACTGCGCTGTGGCCCAACATTTATTTGCAAGTAGGACTGCCTACTTTAAAAAAAAAAAAAAAAAAAGACCGTCTGATGTGGTAACATCTTGGGAGGCTAGAGAACATGATGGAAGAGCAGTCTTAACCTTTTACCTTGGGGTAAGCATTGCTTTACAACTAGCTACATCTCCCTTCTATGCCAGCCACTATGAGCAGGTATTTATTTATTTAAAGGGTTTATAACCTTTGGAAAAGATCCTGATGCTGGGAAAGATTGAAGGCAAAAGGAGAAGAGGACGGCAGAGGATGAGATGGTTAGATGGCATCACTGAAGCAACAAGCATGAAACTGAGCAAACTCAAGGAGGCAGTGAAGGACAGGAAGACCTGGCGCAATATGGTTCATGGGGTCACGAAGAGTCGGACACGACTTAACGATAGGCAGTGAAGGACAGGAAGACCTGGCGCAATATGGTTCATGGGGTCACGAAGAGTCGGACACGACTTAACGATTGAACAACAACAACAACCAGTCAACTAATCAGTCAGTCAGTGGCTGCCCATCTCATGCAAGTGACTCTGAATGGAGTACAAGGATTAACACCTTTCACATTGGGGACCCCTGGCCTAAACCCCTGGTCCCCCCAAGTTGGGGCCCCTGGCATAAACCCCTGGTTTCCCCCAAGTTGGGGCCCCTGGCAAAAACCCCTGGTTCCCCCCATGTTGGGGACCCCTGGCATAAAGCCCTGGTTTCCCCCCATGTTGGGGACCCCTGGCATAAACCCCTGGTTCCCCCCATGTTGGGGACCCCTGGGATAAAGCCCTGGTTTCCCCCCAAGTTGGGGCCCCTGGCATAAACCCCTGGTCCCCCATGTTGGGGACCCCTGGCAAACCCCTGGTTTCCCCCCAAGTTTGGGCCCCTGGCAAAAACCCCTGGTTCCCCCCATGTTGGGGACCCCTGGCATAAAGCCCTGGTTTCCCCCCCATGTTGGGGACCCCTGGCAAACCCCTGGTTTCCCCCCAAGTTTGGGCCCCTGGCAAAAACCCCTGGTTCCCCCCATGTTGGGGACCCCTGGCATAAAGCCCTGGTTTCCCCCCCATGTTGGGGACCCCTGGCAAACCCCTGGTTTCCCCCCAAGTTTGGGCCCCTGGCAAAAACCCCTGGTTCCCCCCAAGTTGGGGGCCCCTGGCATAAGCCAATTTTCCCAATTTAGCCCTTTCCAGGTAAGGTGAATTTCT